CACATGCATAGATCCAATAGTGCTCCTACCATACTTCTGTTTGGCAGGATAATTAAAGATTGAGATATGATTTATGTGTTTTTTTGCTGATGCTACATGAAGTGCTGTGAGAAGTTTTTTTTAAAATTAAAGCCTAAGCAAACACATCAGATAAGTCTAAGTTGCTGCTCAACTGAAACTGACTGTTTCAGGCCTTGGTTACAGCAATGAGAAGCAAATGTAGAAGGTCCTACCGGATGGGGAGCCAAAACAGAATGAAATCTAGGCCAGGAAATCAGTCATGAAATTCAGCTGTATCCGTACTTAAACTTGTTCCACTTCTGTGAAAGAAGGTTCTGTAATCACAAGTTTCATTACTAGAAAGAGCTACTAGTGGCGCAGTGGTTAAATGCAGCACTGCAGGCTACTGCTAGATCAGCAGTTCGGCGGTTCAAATCTCACCGGCTCAGGGTTGACTCAGCCTTCCATCCTTCCGAGGGGGGTAAAATGAGGACCCAGATTGTTGGGGGCAATATGCTGACTCTCTGTAAACCGCTTAGAGAGGGCTGAAAGCCCTATGAAGCGGTATATAAGTCTACTGCTATTACTGGCTGAGTAAGAGAACAGAATGGAATCTGCAATACAACCAGTTCCTCAAAATACAATTACTGCTATAACATATAACAGGCTTATGCATATGCCTGACCCTTCAGAAACAAAGATGATGGCAGCTATCAAAGTGTCCCTACCAATATGTGGATTCTCACTATGGATCAGAAAGACATTAACTCAGTTTGCCTTTTAATGCAAAAAATGTGGATACTGCAGGAACACATACCAGAAGCATCCATATAAAGACAAGTACCAAAATGCATTATTAATGGGGCCATGTTTGCAAATGTTCAAAAATGTGCATAGTTTGAGAAATGCCCACAAATAACATATGCACTTTTATGCAGGCTTGTTTTCTTACGAAAAGAAATTGCAAACTGAGGCAGAAATGTGGTGAAATGAATGTAAGACTGGGGGGAAATGAAAACTTAACTACAAAGTTGATTGTCACTCAATTCTTGCTGATGTGCTAGAGCTTGACAAGGACATTTTTAAATAAATATAAATATAAAAGCTTTCTTTCAGAAACTAATAAATTACAGAGTATATTTTGTTTTCCACATCCTAATCACTGATAAACACTCCAATAATCCTTCCAAGCAGAAAAAGAACTTTTAAATTTAAAGTTGTAATCCACCCAGAGTCATCTTGTGGCAAGATGGGCAGCAAACACATTTAATAAATAAATAAATAAATAAATAAAAATAAGATAATATTAGCAGAGAAAAAAAGCTTCTACCTGATCTCTGTACTAAGATTTTTCAAATTGTGTTCTGCAGATCCTAGAGTTCAATAAGAATTTGATGGAATTCTCTGAGAGTCTAAGGGGAAAACATCATTCAAATGAAGCCAATTTTCTTACAGGTTCCATGTCCTGAAAAAGTTTGAAAATTCTTTCTCTAGACTAATTTAGTGTATAATATTATTCCTTAAACAACGTCAGATCCACAGGAGCAGAAATAAATAACCGCAAAGGCCCTTTTCTCTGGAAAAACGTATGGTTATTATCACGTAAAAAAAATCTATTTTTTTTAATCAAAACAGTTAGATCCACCTAATTATAAAAAGAACCAGAAAATGTCAGGTAGGTAGCTATAAAACCCCTCATCTCATTCATCATAATATAATACCTTTTATTTTATTATATTAAATAAATCAACCAAGCCTTATTAAAGGAACATGTAGCATCAGGCACCAATGCAAGATAATTTGCAGTCATGTCACAGAGAAAAAATTCCTCTCCCTATAAAGTGTGCACAGCCTGCGTAATTGATGGACCACATCCTCCTTAATAAACTTGCATTTGTGCAGATGTTGAGAGATATGAGATCAGGAATGCTCAGGACCCCAAATAATGCCTTTTCCTGTGAAGCTAATGGAGCATAGAAGAACACTCATCCAAATAGATATCACATTTCTGGCATTTCACTGCTCTACACCAACTGGGAATCAAGCTTCACAGACCCCCATTGCCTGCCAGGTAGTGTTTACTATTTGATTAGCTAATGGGTCACACTCCAACACCACCTGATCTGGCAGGGAAGACAGGGCCCAAGAGAGCTTAGGATCAAAATAATGGCATCATTTTTCTTTGGGAGTCTGGCTGCTGCAAGATATACCACCTCATTCACGGCAATGTAATCAGTCATAACAACTCTGTGTTGCTAAACTGCTCGAGTATTAATTAAAATCCCAACAACATTCCAGCTGAGAGAGGAAATACACTGAAGGATGAATGAGTGAATGGATGCTCTTCTCTATCCACTCCAGCAGATTTTCTTCACCTGATAGTACTGATAATAATAGGCTAGAAGAAGAAACCTATGTAGTAAATTAATGTGACACTAGTAGGTAAATTTGAAAAACAGAGTGCTATTGTTTATAAAATTAGATTAATGACTTTTGAGTGAGTACATTTATTAACAATTATAAAGCACAAGGAAAGTCTTGATCTCAGATCTCATACACTTTATCAACCATACTGGGAGGGTTCTGTTTTATGTGATAAGGTTCTGTTTTATGTGATAAGGTAAAGGTTCCCCCACATGTGAGCGCTTGTCATTCCTGCCTATAGGGGATATGCTCATCTCCGTTTCAAAGCCGAAGAGCCAGCACTGTCTGAAGACATTTCTGTGGTCATGTGGCAGGCATGACTAAATACCGAAAGTACACAGAACGCTGTTACCTTCCCCCAAAGTAGTCCCTATTTTTCTACCTGCATTTTTTACATGCTTTTGAACTGCAAGGTTGGCAGAAGCTGGGACAAGTAACAGAAGCTCACTCCCGTTACGCGGCTCTAGGGATTTGAACCACTGAATTGCCTACCTTCTGATCGACAAGCTCAGCGTCTTAGCCACCGAGCCACCGTCGCCCTTTAGGGAATAGGAAATATTAGAGTACTCTTAATTTTGGTTTTCAGATTTCTTCAGGCCTTGATATATTTTAGTTTAAAAAAATGTAAACCCTTGTCAAGAGGCCATGTTCTGCTGATAGAAAATTGGTTATGTTCAACTAAAATGGTGTTTTGGGAGTAAGACATGTTGATCATGCAGAATATTGAACAGTTACATGCCAGAACTGCTATGCTTTTCCTGATCACTGCCTCTGAAACAGTGCCGCCTGAAGGCATTTGATCTTCACTCAGTCATACTTTGCTCAGATTGAAGATCCAGGACAGGAGATGGATGTTATGCAGGATATCGCACAATGTTATTGCCCTCTCTTAATGTCATATTGAACTCAGTGCTGGGCTCTTGGCCAGTTGCATATCTAGCAGCCACAGCAGAGAACAGCCCCATAACTCTTCTACTGGCAAATCAGATTCCTGCAGTTTCTGCAAATCAGATTCCTGAAGTAACAAGCCCACCCCATGAAAGTGATTTTGGATCAGGCATTTTCCTATTGTCAGTAAATTGAAACACAGAGTTAGGTAGAAGCAGAGTTTATAATCTCCAAATCAATTTAGCATAAGATTTTCATTCATTTTCTCATGCTTCAAATACAACCAATGATTGGGTCTTTCACCATCACCATATTCTCGTGTGATGTGGCTAGATTTTTTTAAACCATTATATATAGTTATAACTGCTATAATTATAACTACCAGCTGTAAAAAGAGAGGGAGAATTAAAGAATAGTTTTGGGAAAGGGTTCAGTTTTTCCATCATGATCCACTATCCTGTTATCAAAAATGGTGCAAGGTCTGAGAAGAGAGACAGGAGGAACTAAATATGTATAGCGTGGAAGACAGAAGGAAAGAGGATAACATGACTGAAACCTTTATATTAAGGGTGTGAATAAGGTTCTAGAAGGCAGTATTTTCAATATTAAACAAAAATCAAGAACACAGGTTCATATCCCTGAGAGGAGGGAAGTTCAAAAGTAATGTTAGCTTGGAACCTACATCCATCACTCAGTATAAGCATGCTTGGGATAAACACATACGGCATTATCTGACAAAAATAAAAACTATCAAAACAATAATTCAAACTTAATTAATTAATTAATTTTAAAAAGTCAGAGTCGATGGGACCACGAGGTCTTTTTCTGCCATTGTTTTTTTTATGTTTCTGTGTTTCTATCTGCACCTTCAAAAGTGAAAGTAACCAAAGTACAAATCAAAACTACACAAGGAATAATAATATAGTCATTAGAACTCTAGAGAAAATAAAAAAACACATCTCTCAATCTATTTATCCCTATATAACCTTGTTAGAATAAAAAAATAACTGCTATTTTTCTAGTGGGTATAACTCTTTTATACTCATTATAAAGATAATAGACATAAATTACAAATTTATGACATACGTGCACTTATTTGTTAATCTTGCATTATTCTGCATCTGAAAGCCTGAGGTTGCTACTGTCTGGAAACCATACTTCAATCATCCCAAAGCATTCAAAAATTCATAGAAACAGGGTTGTCCAGAAGGAAGCCCTCACTTTTTTTACCTCTTCCTCCTTGAAATCTTGGATTTTCAAAGATGGTACAATCCCTTCACATTTTTTGTAATATAGTGAATATTCCATAGACGATGATACCTGTCTTCCAAAACCAAGAATTGCTAAGGAATGAGGGAAGGGAGTGTAAAGGAAGAAAATAAGAAACCAAAATAATGTTTCAAGTACAAGGGAATGGAGAACAGAAGAAAAGAAAAAGAGAAAAGTAACCCAGAAAAAAAACCAAGGTAAGTTGTCCATATGTTGGGAAACCAAAGCAGTAAAAAATAATAATATGGAAACCCCCAAAGCAGAAAAAGTATAATTTCAATAGCCCCTGAATGCTATCAAGTTACCAGATCAAAAGTCTACAGATTCAAACATGCCAGGCACATTTCATCACTGGAAGACCTGGAACAGAATGGAAGACTTACTCGTCCTGCCCACCTCTGCCCTCTCATGGCCATTACCTTCTCCGCTGACTGTGATGTCCCAAAGAAGATAGGAATGAAGGCTAACCACACAATGCAAGTAGTGTACATGGTAAACCCAATGGGCTTGGCTTCATTAAAGGTCTCAGGAACCCCACGAGTCTTTATAGCATACACAGTGCAGGTTACCATGAGCAGCATGCTGTATCCAAGCAAACAGATGAGGGATAGGTCAGAAATGTCACACTTAAGGACTCCCCGGGCAAAGCGGGGGTCTGTAGTCCGCTGGTCCTCATAATCGATGACAGAGTGTGAAGGGTCCACAATGAACCAGATGCAGACCCCTAGGAGTTGCAGAGATATGAGGCTGAAGGTGATGGCCAGCTGGGAAGCAGGGCTGATTAAGCGTGGAGCACTGACCGACTTCTTGCCCTGCTCAAAAATGCGATAGATGCGATTGGTTTTGGTCAGCAAGGCAGCGTAACTGATGCTCATGCCCAGGCCCAGAAAGACACGCCGCAACGAGCAGGTGCCCAAGTCAGGCTCAGCAATCATCAGGAAGGTGGTGGCATAGCAAAGAAAGATACCTGTCAGCAGCACATAGCTTAGTTCCCGCCCTGAGGCCTTGACAATAGGTGTGTCGTTGTAGCGCACGAATGTCACCACCACAAAGAGGGTGGCAATGATGCCCACAATGGCAATGAAAACTGGCACCACAGCCCAAGGAGAGCTCCACTCAAGTTTAACAATGGGGATGGGGATGCAGCCAGTGTGGTTCTCATTGGGGCGCTCACTGAGACGGCACACCTTGCAATGGAACTCATCGTGCTGATATTGGTATCCATCACAGCGCTCACAGTGCCAGCAGCATGGAATGCCCTTCACCAGCTTCTTCCTTTCGCCTGGTTTGCATGGCTGGCTGCATATGGAGGTGGGCACACGATTTCCTCCTCCAGGCCAATGCAGGCGCTCCATCTGCAGCAGAGAGGGGGGTGAAAGCAAGAATCTCAGCAACCTACCTAAGCCTAGGTCAGAATGTCCTACCCAAGTAGCACAAAATGATTGCTTTTAATCAATAGTTTATCCATTTAATATGTGTGTTGCTCCTTATTTACAGTTCTTCTGCCCTAGAATACCCTAAAGCTGAAAGGTTTGTTTTTGAAAGCCTGCAGAAATTCTTCCTCTCCCAAGACAGACCCTTGAGTTTTGCAATTTACCTGCTGCAGCCTTTACTAACAAGGACCACTCATAGTGACCTTGCTAAACTACAGTAAACAGTTCAAGCTCTGTACTTTGCCACCTCTCATTGTGGCTGCATAATCTATTTATCTTTTTTTTCTTCTTAAGGTTATTTCAAAGCTGTATGCACACACTGACTGATTGTAACTCCCACTTCAGTTTCTATATTATTTCATTTTATTGTGCACAGCTACCGAGCCAATTCTGAATACCTGCTCATTAAAAAAGAAACAAAAGTTTGCATAAAATTCCAAAATTATTTACCTAAGTTTCACCTGTTAAATGTTAATTTTGATATTGAAATGTATTGCTCTGAAATAGTTGAGGTCAAGGGCAAGCGCCTTTAATGATTTAAAACAAATGAGGGAAAGCAAATATGCTATATTTATTTGTCCCTGGGACTGAACCTTTAAATTTTATGTTTGCTTGGTGATACTTCCAATTGTAATATTTTTTTTTGCAGCCTAGTCTTTAAAAATGTAGTTCAGATAGTTAGAAATAGGGTACATTGGATTGTATTATTGAATGAGATTATACAGCAGTGTGAGAGCTAAACTCAAATCTTCTTCTGTATGATCTCTCTTTGATGTCTATATACAGATAGCCTGAATTAAAAAAATAAGCCCATTTTGATCAATGTTCTTGATTTTATTGGGTTTCCTGAGTACAATTGTGATTCTTACTTAAAATTCTGAAGTTGAAAAGACAGAAAGTTAATTCCCAGAAATGTTCAGATATAACCAACTGACTTACTTTTAAGTTTAGATGATCTGCCCAGTGCCCAATAACTTTATACTCGGGTGTAGCATTCTTGATCTGGTACTGATAGATATCATAGCGGCCTGGAGCATCTCCATTCTCATTAAATGTCACTGGAGTTCCAGCAATACCTACAAGAAGCAAAGTACTTAGTTCCAGAAAGAAAAACAGAATGACATTGGATGGCATATTTGATTTATCAAACATACATCTAGTTTAATATGTAAAGGTATCTTGCAAAATTGCCCAACAGGTTTTTTGGGGGGAGAACTTCGAAGTTTATTAGCTACAGAAAAGCACTGGAAAGTGCTGCAAATACATCAGGAAACAAGGAATAGAATGACTCTGGGCATCTGATTCAGATCAAAACTCAGTTCACTCTGTTCTCTCAAACTAAAATCTCATTTTTTTTCATTTTTACATAAGCAACTCATCTTAGAAAGCAAGAGCCTTTTAGTTGCTTTTTGCAGATCTGCTAGAAATCACATTCAGATTTACCAGTAGTTTCTTTGCTAGAAACAGGCATATAGAAGGTAAAATAAGAGATGCTACCCACTCAAGGAAGCCTCATTTGTAAATATTAGGATAAAATTAGGTTTCTGCAACTTTCTTCGTCATGATCTTCTATCCAAATATTAACCAGATCTGACCTTGTTTAGCTTTTTAAGATCATCCAAGGTTATCTAGACATTACTATGCCCATTTAGACTCTGCCAAGTTATATAATCCTTACTATATAACTCTATAATGAAAATTAGCAGTTTGTTGTCATACAGAATGGCCAAAATCAAATTGGTTTAAAGTAAGCGGTAAATGTTGATGTCAGATCAGAAAAGAATATCCATTCCTTTTCTAAATCTCTCCTGCAATGCTACAAAAAGCAGAGTGTTTGGTGACATACACAAAATTAGAAGGCCCTTAAGATTTGGGTGTCCTCCCACGCATGCAGGTTGGAAAATTAGGTGACCTATGAGTTATTGTTAATTATTGTTGATGGTTATCCTCAGCTGACATTCTTTTAATTTTATTCTTGTATACTGTATTTTTTGGAGTGTAAGACACACCTTTCCCCCCCCAAAAAGAGGCTGGAAATCTAGGGGCGTCTTATACACTGAATACATAATTTTTGGACTCCTGAAACCCCATCCCCTTTGCAAAAATGGACTTGCAGGAGGTTTGGGAGGCCTGCAAAGTATTCCTGTGGGCTGGGCAGGACAAAAATGAGTGAAAACCGGGCTGTTTTTTGCTCGTTTGTGCCCCCCCCAACCCCCAGGAGCACTTTGCAAGCCTCTCAAACTCTCTGCATGCCCCATTTTTCACAAAAATGAAGTGTGCAGAAGGTTTGGGAGCCTGCAGAGTGCAAAAACCTTTTTAAAAAATTTACCTCTTCAAAATCTCGGTGCGTCTTATACTCTGGTGCATCTTATAGTCCGATAAATATGGTAGCTTCTTTTACTATTGCTATTACATTAATGTTTTCAACTATATTCACTACCCATCATCACTTGTGCAAGATGAGCAGCCACATGAATTGAATAAATTAAATGAGATCTCTGAGCAACTTTATAATGTAAAATGAGTATACTGACAGATATAGGGAGCATAAATATATGGGCATACCCTGTTAGTTCATGTATTTGGTACCAATGATATAAACTTGATCAAACTTTTAGCAGGCATCTAATCCAAAGAAAAAGAAGGGTCCTTTTCTTGACAGTCAATCAGTTCCACTTCGTACATAAAAACTGCTTTCAGAAGGCATTAGACAGACCTGCCATCAAATCTGCCTGCATATAATTACATTCCTCTTAGAATATGCTCTCTGTCTAAATCATTGAGCAATAAATCCATGCAAAATGCCAGTCCTTGATGAGCCTACTATCATTCATTTACCAAAAGTGGTAATCCCAGCTCAGCATTCAACCACATAGATGTAGACAGAAAATAATAACATATTTTACTGTGTTAAGTGAATCTTAAAGAACTAATATCATGAAATGAAAGAACTGAAAAGAACCTGGATATAGAGAGGTCATCAAGAAGTATCAGGAGCTGATTGTCTTCAATTCCAAATTTATGCTGTATTTTAACATTTTTATTTTCTCCTATACTTTTCTCTGTTGCCTTACACTATCAGCATGATGCTGACTAGATCTCAGGGTCAGACCAAGGAATGAAAAAAAGGGATGGAGCTCTATTCAATCCATGTAGCAAACCTGACTAAATTCGCAGTTGAATTTAATGGGCATGTAGGAGTTTGCATGGCACATGACAGTGTTGCTCCCACATCTCAGCATCTGATGCTTAACTGTCTTAAGGCTGCCTACTGGGAAAGCTTGCTTATCCTGCCAAACGCTGCCCCTTCTAACCGTGACCAGTGTTTCTTCAATTCTTTTATATTACCTCTTCCTTCTTAGCATAGGTCGTAATAGACCCCAGAGAATAGTCTCATCAAGACTATGGCCATATAATAAAATTAACCTCATTGCAGAAATAGTAGCAAAACAAGTAGGGAACACCTTGAACATATGCTTGATGATCTGCAGCAATTAGATGATAATGTCGATCTCCCTGTCATAAAACACTTTTGACTTCCCAATTTCTAAAGACCAAATCTTCATTAAGGAACTCCCACAGAAGTGAGTTTCAGTGTGGTTTTGTTGTCTGCTTACTTTTATATATTGAGCCAAGAAGAAAGTTATAAGAACCAAAGCAGGCCTCACAATGACATCTCCCCCTTTTCTACCTCTGTTTCAGTGATTGGTTCCTACTAGTTCAGACTGGTTCAGACAAATTGGTAGTGGTTTGGTGGCCTGGGTCGCTGGAACCAGCAGCAACCCAGGTCTGCCACTTCCTGAACAGGTTCTCCGGGGCAGCACCATAGGCACTGCCATCTTGTTTTTCGCTTCTGTGCATGAGCAGAACAATTTTTATTGCACTGAGCACGCGCACATAGTAGTGCCTGCCAGAACCCACCCCTGCTCTGTTTGTATATCAAGTGTAAGGATGGAAGTCTAGCAATCAGATGAGCTCTAAATCATTAATCTGCTCTCTTGCTCAGGTAATACCTGATCAGGTTGATAGTTTCTCCTATTTTTCTTTATTTTGCATCCATTTCTACTATGAGAGATGGAAATAAAAAAATGAGAGTGGAACAACCAAAAGTAGAGAAGGAGTAGGGATGGTTGCATTACTCATTACATTATATGGTATAGGCAGGGGCAAGGGCTAAAATTAAAATTCAACACTAACAACATGATACATTAATTTGGGTGGACTGTTTCAGCCCTTTTATGATTAAACAGAGTGTCAGGCCTGCAGCCATCTTTTCTTTTGGATTTTTGGCTTGCCACACTTTCTATTATTCTACTATGCATTTTCTATAATGGGAAAATGGGAGAGGGGATTGTAGGAGTGAGATGCGATGTAGTCATAACAAAATTCTTTCTAGAAAGACAAGGTCATCCTTTGTCTTTGCACCTCTGCACCTGACCGGAGCTTGATGGATGGAACTGCCAACATGGCAGTGGAAGATTGGACTATGTGATGGACTTGCGGGGAGGGGGCAAGATCTTGAACTTTCAACTAGGTGGGGAAAACCGGGAAGCTTTTGGATTCAGGCTTTCCCAGATGTGTCAACATGGCTCTCTTAATGACCCAACCAGAAAGAACACTCCTCTGGGCTGTGTACATTTATTTCTACAGTACTCGCTATTAGCATGTTATATGTTGAAAGTATTATTTTTTAAAGATGCCTAAAAATTTTTTGTTATCAGATCTCCAATGCTTACGTGTACAGAATCTGGTAAGCCATGTTATCGATTGGCATGTTTCTGTAGTTCTGTGAGTCCTAATCTGAAGATTTTATCTATTCATCAAAAAATTTCAATATCATATTTTGTTGTCTCACCAATACCAGTATCAAACTATAAGCCACTCTGTTCCCTCATAAGTGGCTATAGAACTTCAGTTTTTAGGGAAACTAGAAAAAGATTATGTTCAGTGAAAACCTCTTTGTGGAAAATGATGGAACATGATGCATTTGTTGTAAGGAATAAGATTGGTGCCCCACTGCCCTCTAAACTGTTTTGTTGACCATCTTACCATGACAACACCTGCAGCTACAGAGCAAGCTGAGTGGGACAATATCTGCTGTTCCAGTACTTGTTCTGGGTGCTTTTTGCAGACAGATCATTATCATTGATGAATACTGTCAGTGATCAGCACTAATATCTCTGCCACTCATCTGCACAGTGAAAGGTTACAGAGGAACAGCAAGGGATGCACCCTGTGGGGGAGAAGGGGCAGGACAGAGTGCAAGACAGTTCTTCAAAACAAAGGCAGCTGGGGCCTGATTAGGCATTTGTGCCATCTGTTCAGGGCCAAGAAAGCACTGCTAAGAGATTGAGAACTGTTACTTTTGCTCACTCCTTTGGTTTTCTTTCTGCATGCTTGCATGTATATTCATGATAGAAGACAACTGCACAGGGGTATTCTTCCAGATCTCAATGAAAGAAAAGTATAAAATATTAAAAACTGCAGTTACTCAAATGTCCATTCCTCAGGGGTGGAAGATGACATAGTTCTACTCAAGTTGGTCTTCATCGGAACCAGAAATCAGTCCCTCTTCCTTTCATCTTCTTCTTTTGCTGGAGAACAAAAACCATGCTCCCAAGAAGAAACAAATGGTTATGTACCTCCTTCTCCCTGTATCTATATATCAACTATTAAAAATTCCTTCTCCCTGCATATATCTCAAGAGTGAGCACAAAAGAAGATTTCTTCAGGAAATAAAACACTGTTGTTTATTTCAAGATCTTCTCCATGTATGGATGAGCTTGGAATTCAGAATCATAGAAACAATCTAGTTGCTGTTCTCCTTTATCCGCTTTTTACAGATTTCTCATGGAGTGGAAAATATAAATGACCTCTAAATCCAAGCATCCAAAAGGCGGTTTCTCCATGTTAAAATGGGAAGCTTAATCACTTGTGCATTTGTAAAATATTTTTGTCCTCACTTTTGTCTTAGAGGTGTTTTAAAATATGCCTAATATAAAAGACAACTTCAATGAAGAAAAGCTATTCGGCTGTAGGAGCAAATGGGCACTCCCAGTCATACTAAAGGAAGTTT